CAACTGGTCCTCCGGTATTCGCGCGGGCAAGGCCGTTACCGCCGGACAGATACACTAAAGTTAAAGATGAATTCAAAACTATGCAGGAAATGGGAATTTGTAGACCTAGTAAGAGCTCGTGGGCGAGTCCATTACACATCGTACCTAAAAAGAATGGGGATATTAGGCCGTGTGGAGATTATAGGAGGCTTAACGCCATAACCACACCTGACCGCTATCCAGTACCCCGATTACAAGATTTTACGTACATATTAACGAATAAAAAGATATTTACTCGATTAGACGTTAATAGAGCATACCATTATATACCTGTGCATCCCGATGACGTAAAGAAAACGGCAATAATCACACCGTTCGGATTATTTGAGTTCAATAGAATGAGTTTTGGGTTGCGAAACGCCGCCCAAACCTTTCAACGGTTTATGACCACCGAAGTTTTAGAAGGTCTAGATTTTATATTTATTTATATTGATGATGTTATGATAGCTAGTGATAGTGAAGAGCAACACACAGAACATCTTAGGATTGTATGTGAAAGGTTAAGCAAATTCGGCCTAACTATTAACATAGCTAAATGTGAATTTGGTCAGATGGAAGTAGATTTTTTAGGATTTAAAGTATCTAGTAAAGGGTTTAAGCCATTAGAATCCAGAGTGCAAGCAATAATTGATTTCCCTAAACCGGAAACAGTTGAACAGTTGCGTAGATTCTTAGGAATGTTAAATTTTTATAGACCTCACATTCCTAAAGCAGTAGAACCACAGTCAGAATTAAATAAATTTATCCATCATTCTAAGAAAAATGACAAGACCAAAATCCCATGGAACGATAACGCGAATGTAGCATTTGACCAATGTAAACTTAGCCTACAAAAGGCGGTTACATTATCATATCCGCGTACCGACGTTCCGATTTCGTTAATGTGTGATGCATCTGACACTTGTGTAGGAGCAGTTCTACAACAATTTATACATGAAAAATGGGAACCATTAGGTTATTTTTCGAAAAAATTGTCAGATACACAAAAGAAATATAGTACCTACGATCGTGAACTTTTGGCTATTTACATGGCTATTCAAAATTTTAGAAAATTATTTGAAGGTCGAGAACTGATTGTTTTTACCGATCACAAACCACTAACATACGCTTTTTCGAAATTAAATAGTAATAATGAAACGCCTAGACGAACAAGGTACTTATTGTTCATAAGCGAATTTACGACGGACATTCGTCACATAAGTGGGCTAGAGAACATCGTTGCTGACTCGCTCTCACGAGTCACTGAAATTTATTTCCCGACTGTTATCGATTACAAAAAACTTGCATTAACGCAGGCAACTGATGCTTATATTACTCAAGTGTTAAACAACCCTCATACAAAAAGTAAAGTGGTTATTAAAAAGTTGAGTAATCCCACAGTTGACATGCCTATTTTTTGTGAGGTATCAACTGAAGTGGCACGACCCTATTTACCTGAGAAATTTAGAAAAGTTGTTTTCGATAACATACATAATCTTAGTCATCCTGGCATAAAAACGTCAAGAAAGTTAGTTGCTCAAAAATACTTTTGGCCAGGCATGAATAAAGATGTAGGAGTGTGGGCTAAAACCTGTATTGGATGCCAGAAAGCTAAAATTCAAAGGCACACAATATCAGGCCTAGGTCAGTTTCCGAAATGTGATAGATTTGAACACATCCATATAGATTTAGTAGGTCCTTTAGCTATTTCTGAAGATGGATATAGATATTGTCTGACGATCATAGATCGATTTACTAGGTGGCCAGAAGCTATTCCACTTAAAAATATTACAGCTGAAACGGTCGCGAAAGCGTTGTACGAAGGATGGATCTCGAGGTTCGGTTGCCCTATCAACATCACTAGTGATCAAGGTAGACAGTTTGAAAGTAACCTGTTTAGTCATTTAATGAAAATATTAGGAATAAACAGAATTAGAACAACAGCTTTCCACCCTCAAAGTAACGGACTAGTGGAAAGATGGCATAGATCTCTGAAAACTGCATTGATGGCTACGTTAAGTACTGAATCATGGGTAAATGAATTACATACAGTTTTGTTAGGATTGCGTTCTGCACTAAGAAGTGATACCAACTTCAGTGCAGCAGAACTAACTTACGGACGTAGTATTCGATTACCAGGCGATTTTTATTATACTGGACAGACACAGCACGTAGACATTGAAACATACGTTGATAAATTACGTGAGACAATAAGGAAATATAAAGCCTCAACGAGAGAAAATAAATTAGGTTCTATTTTTATACACCCAGAATTAAAAGTGTGTAAATATGTTTTTGTTCGCAACGATATGGTACGTAAACCCTTGCAACCTCCCTATGAAGGCCCCTACCGCGTCATAGAGAGGAAAGATAAATATTATGTTATAGACTTAATTAATAGACAAGCATGTATTTCTATTGATAGATTTAAACCAGCATTCTTATTAGAGACTGACATAGACAAAGATAAAACAGCTTGTAAGAAAACCCAGTCCACATCGAAAGACACTGTTCCGACAGAAGACCGTAATAAGTTAGAACATCCGGCCCCTATGGTCACACGTTCCGGTCGTGTAGTCAAAAGAACACGGTTTTTCGATGAGGAACAGTAAAGTGAAATAATTTGATTTAAGATGAAATTGTTATTATTGTAAGAAATTTAATTTTAACTAAAATACCTAATATAAGTCAATATACTTTATGTAATAAGGTTACAGAACATGTAATATTTTTTAAAGTAATAAATTGTGTTACTTAGGATTTGGTAATTTTTACAAAATAAAGTTGCACAAACTGATCACTTGTACAATTTTAAGTTTTGTTAAAATTACATTTCTTGTAAACAATTTGATATTGTATCCATTAACACTTAAGTCTGTTGAAAGAACTCATAAAAACTTAAGTTTGTAAAAACATACTGAAGTGATTCGATACAATTTGTGAGTTATAGTTTTTTTGTTTTGTTTTTGTGCATGATTAGAATTAGTTTGGTAGTGGATTGGTATAAGTATTTAAAGTTACGAAAGTACCAATAACTTTTATTTTTTGTTTGAGTCAATCAAGTGGGTCAAATAGTTTTGTTTAGAAAAAGTTATTTATGGAATACTTAATTTTGGGAATACTTTACAGAATTTTTTGTACTTCTAACTCAAGTATACTTTACAATGTAGTTCGTCATATTTTATATTTTTGATGTTTTTCTTTTCTATTAACTTGATTGTCGTTGTTAGTTTGTACTTAGTTTTAAAACTGATTGTACTTACTGAAATTTTTGCAAAATTTTGAAAATAAGGGAGGAATACCTGCTACACAATGAGGGAGATTCTTCCATGTCAAGATCACATCCGAGCGTTACCTACATACATACATAGCAGCCTATCGCCCAGCCACAGCGCTTATTGTGCAATCACAATTTATTATACAGTTTGAATACAAAACACAATATGGGGTTATAGAGGTATAAAACAACAACTAGATATCCAAGTACCTACCTACTTATATTAAAATAAAGACATGAAACTGTTTTTGTCATATCTAAAAGGCCAGAGATCAAGAAACTACTTAGATGCAATGTAATTTTAATTATAGGTACCAACCTAGGTACCTACTTAAGGCAATAAAACAAAAACAAGCACTAAGTACCTAAATACACGAGAGCAAGCCACTAGTCTTGTATTATTTTATTTATGTGTTTATCTTCATTTAGTATTCTCGATGAGGTGTTTCTCTAAGGTGTGATGTGAATAGTGCCTAAAAATAATGTTTTTAAACAAAAAAAAACTTTTATTGATTTTACTTTATATATCAGGCCCTAAAGTCATCAAGTTTACATTCTAGTGCAGGGTCTCCCAAACTATGGGTCGCAAGTTAATTTTTAGTGGGCCTTCTTCTTCGATAATTTTTAATGATTCCGTATTTTATTTTTCATACTGATGACAATTTAAACTGTCAAACACCAAGCGGTCACCGGTGACCGCAACCTATTGTTCTATAATTGTGTCTACAAAACCGATACTCGACGATATTCTAAAGGTGGGCCCTGAGTTTGGGAACTTGGTTAATAGGTCGTGGTCCAGACAATGTTCTAGTGTATCTTATTTAGCAGTAGATACTTCTAATACGAAGACGTGACGAGTTTCAATATGAAAACAAACGTGCCCAACACTATAATTGACAGACGGAAATAAATTAATCAAAATATCAAAATAAAATAAAAGAACGACATCATATGTAATTTTGGTTTATTTCAACATTATTATAACAATTTATAAACTTATTTTATACCTATTTATAAATAAAAATGAATTGCCGTTAGTTAGTCTCGCAAAATCTCGAAAACGGTTGAACTTTGTCTAATTTTGGTCTTGAAAATTTCCTTAAAGTCCAGGGAAGGTGTAGAAGGCGAGAAAGAAAACTGTAGACGGTACGAAGTTTACCAGATCAGCTAATAAAAATAAATATCTCATATATAAAAGCATTTTCTCCTATATTTATACTTATAAAATATTTACAATGTTTTCTAAGCCTATACAATAGTACTAAGAAGCTTCCATAATGTTATTGTTTTCACAAAGTATTATTTGATTACTTTTCTGCTTAGTCTTTCATTCTTAGACTATCTCTTGTGCAGTGTATGTTTACAAACAACTGATCAATCCCCAACTCCCAAGCAGTCACCGGTGACCACTTTCCACTATCTCATTTTAGACCTTATTTCCGATGTTTAGAAACTAGTTTTGTATAAACTTTGGGGATATATATCAAGTGAATAAATAAATAACATCCAAAAATTAAAAACCAAATGCATTAAATCATTAGTCTCTACCAGCCCCATGGGAGACAGGTGTGAGGTTATGTATAGATATGTATATGTATGTAAACTTTTAATTTTTCGTATTCGAATTCATTCGAGCTGCCGAGTCAACGACTACTGAGGACGCTCCATGGAGGAGCGAAACATAATGTCGTGTTCGTTTTTCGCATCTCTGCTGCATGAGTGTTTATACATATAGCATGCTGCAAATTCATTCCTTTAGCGGAATAAAAATTATTTAATTAATTATTTTTGTAGCATTGATTTCCACAAAGTAACGCCCGATTCTATTCTATAGTATAATTAAATGTGTTTATAGCTACGTTCATAATACCAATTTATGAAAATAAATGGCGAAAAATGGGTCTCAAATTTAATAACAATGAATGTATTTAATACCCTATACCTTTGGAGTATAAAATGCATATTAAATCTAAATAAACAGGTTCCAAAAGAAACTTATTCAATGTAATCTTATAAGGCACAAATGGCAACTGAATTGTAATATCAAAATTCAGCTCCGACCGCGGACGCTGCTCATAAGGAAGAGTCCCTCTGTGACTCAAAACTAGTAGAGCTTTTCTCTCGTAATTTTTTGTTACTGCAATTCAGTTTACTATATAATATCCAGCACCAAACAAGTGTAAAATGAAATGCATAACCCTTCTAGAAACAGTCGGGTTATAAGATAAAAGCCTTGATGGTGAAAAATGCATCTATTCGTGATTTTAAATACTGGTTACCAATAATGTTCATGTTTTAGATGGAGGTTTCATCGTAATCGACATTATCTTTATCAAAAAAGATCAAAGATCGATTGTGGAAACAGACCACAAATGGGAAACATTGCACGTCCACCGTTATCAAACGCAAGTGTATTTATACAAATCCTACGGCATACCATTACCGAAGTATTATGTTAGAGAATTTTCTTATTACACTTTGAAGACGAGACACATTTTACACAAAAACTTTACAAACTAGTAATATTTAAGTGTGGCGCCACTATCGCTTTTGGCAACTAAGACTATAGTATAAAATCAGTACCTACTATATCACCCTTTACCATTCATATAATTGTTGATTTTAATTAAAAACTTTTTAATTTACTATAGTTAATGAGTCACTATATGGTACCGAATATCTGTTACATACTTCTCTTTAGTGGAAGATTCTTCTTTGAACCTATGAAAAGGGTCTTCTTTTAACCTTTCATAAGTATTACCATATTGATACAATTTCCGTATGATATTTTCAATGATTTATAAAAATACTTCACAACTGTCGAATACTCTATTAACATATTTTAATACCCTATTATAAATTGGACTTAGTAATTGCGGGCAAACCGACATCTGCGTAGATTTTGTTCCAGAAATCTACTCTTTCCTTATCTAAATTATTTGATAGTTTCAACTCTTCGTCTAGAATTAAATATTCTTTATTTGCTGGTGAGCACGGCAGCCATTCCACGACCTCTTTCGTTGGTGTTGGATTTCTGAAAAAAAAAGTAAATACTTACAGTAAAGAAATATGTCTGAATCTAGGTATCTGAATCGAGGTATGATAGAAACCAGCGTAACAAGAGTTCATGGTTGTCTATAAATAAGGAATGTAAAAAATGTAATTAGGTACTAGTAATGCCTAATGTATTGAAAACACAATCACGCAACACAAGTAATCAAATTAATGACGTGATAAATTATAAGACTACTACAATATCAGCACATATAAATGTACTGATATACCCAATAAACAAGACTTAAGACGCTGTTCGATTCTGCAACTGTTTATGATTTCAGAACAATAAAACTAAAATCATTAGATATATACAAAGAAAGCATTTGACTTACCCAGTCTTTGCGAAATCTGTCCAAAACTTGGTCAGTTGATAAATGACCTTTCTCAGTTTTTCGTTTTCATCATAAATACTTCTACTGACTTCGCTATGGAAGAAATAAAACAGATCATCGGCGTGGCAGCTGCCCTTCACACTATCCAATCCGAAGACACTTTTCACAACGTTCAACTCTGTACAATATTCAAACTTATACAAGTACACTGGAGCAAACTTTTGAAAGAAATGTATAAATCTGTGAGTTTGGTACGTGAAATTTATATCTGTTTGCAAATCTACTATGGCTTGACGGTCTTCTGGAGTCATATCTCTGTTACCAAAATAAAACTTCTTTATTCTCTGTCCTAATTCATCTAACGTTTCCTTGGACACCTTCGTGGCTATATCTCTGGGAACAAAGTATGATGGCTGCTCATTCAGGGTTTTTATCTTCTTTACATGGTCGTTGACCATCAACAATCCTTCCGCGGAGTTGTAACCAATTATCATGGGCACTTTACTTATTTTGCCTGCCATTAACAAGTCTAATGGGTCTTCAGTTAAGAACTGTTCTTGGCCCTCAAACTTTTTTTCTATTGTTGGAGTAAAGTAAATCGGTAAACCCCTGTATTTCTCGTCCGTTGTCCTTGTTTGGATTGAAAGCCTCGCTAGTTCAACAGCAGGGAATTCTCTCAGATAACTTAGTAGTTCATTGGTATCCTTTGCTTCTTTACCTAATGCTTTAGCAGCTCTAAATGCTCGTGCTACGGGCTCATGGAATATCGACCAGTAGGATAAACAGTTACCACTCTGCGTTATTACTCTATCAAACAGTCCTTGCGACATTGGCGAGAGCATGTGCAAAATTGCACAGGCGGCACCAGCACTCTCTCCAAATAAAGTAATATTGTCAGGGTCTCCTCCGAAAGTGCTTATATTTTCTTTTACCCATCTCAAAGCTAGAACTTGGTCCTTCATACCAGCGTTACCGGGAACTTCAGGAGTGTCTAGACTTAGGAAACCTAGTACTTCAAGTCGATAGTTTATTGTGACTAAGATCACATCGTGCTGGAAGAAAAATTCTGGGCCGTAAGTTTCAGAATTACCAGATCCTGACAAGAAAGCGCCTCCGTGAATGTAGACCATCACGGGTAGTTTGGAGCTGGGTTGTAATGACTTCGTGTATACGTTTAAACTGAGACAGTCTTCGTTTCCTTCCACGATATCTACAATGCTCATGTCAAATTGAGGGCAGACTGGACCGTGCTCGATCGCGTCACGTATACCCGTCCATGGTTTCACGGGTAATGGTGCCTGAAATAAAATAAATAATTTTTAAATTATAAAGAGAATAATAAAGCAATTAATGGTCCAGTGCTTGTGATGATTATAGTTAGAAAGTCGGTTAAATAAAGAACTGTGAGGAAATTTCAAATCGAAAAGTTAATACCAACAATACTTCACCTCTGTTCAAGTCTTATAAATATAGGTACTCATTCAATCATTAGCCTTAAAAAGTCATGTCCGAAAGAAATATTTATTACCTTAAATCTCAACTCTCCAATGGGTGGTTGGCCGTAGCGAATGCCTTTGAAGCTGTAGTAAGGGGATCCATCTAGACACTTGTTGACTGCACCTTTCAGTTTCCCTTGTTTCACTGTTACGATAGGGTTCTCCTGGAAATAACACATGACAAATTATAATCAAACAGGTTCGTCCTATAGCCAGTTTTAATCTATGATTCAATTCGAGGTATTCAATTTGGTATTTGATTGATGTTGAACACAATCCAAGTGACTGTGTAGGTTACTATGTAACATTTGAGTAAGAATGCTTATGCAACAATCAATATAGAGATTATAAAAGAGATATTTACACGGTTCTATGCATGTTTATTTCTCAATCTCGACACCTAACAAAGTAAAAACTTCAATTGTTGTTTTTTGAATTATTCAAGCTAAGTATCAAAAATTTAAGATATTCTACATATATATTGCTATTGTTTACTGAATCGTAATTGTGAGAAAATCCTTGGTATCTACAATGCAGAATACCTATCTGAAATACAGATATAGATAGACAGACAAAAATAATGGATATCCGTCTGATAGTTGATAGCTTATCTATGGATCATCAACAAAAAATCAATTGGACTTTGTACTAGTCTAATAATACCAAGGTGCGGATCAGTTGGTTTTATTTATAATTGGTTAATCAAAGTCCACAGTACAAGGTTGCTCTTTGCAAAATAGATAACACTGTCCTCCATATTAAGTAGATACCAGACCAGACTATCTATACATGAAACATCACATCTTTTATCGCATCACAAGTGGATTGGCAGAGGCACCGTTTAGCCTCCATAATGTGCCCCATTAAGGAGCCTTTTTCATCTATAATTTAAAAATTTATGCTAATAGTGAGTTATGATTTATTATTTTTTGCAGTAACCAAAAAAATCAACAATGACTAGAACTAGAGTATCTGTTATAATTACTATAGGACTCAGGATTTGCCTCAGTCAAACACGTTATACAGTTACTAGCTTTTACCAGTAGCTTCGTCCATGTTACATGTGGTATAAAATTTAGCCTGTGTTAATCTGGATCATTATCTACCCCCTATTCCAAATTTTGTTCCAATCCTATCAGCCTTTTTGATGTGATTGACTTACTAACATACATACAAGCACACAACTACCATATTTATAATATTAGTAAAATGCACAGCATATCTTGAGATAACATATGACAGTCTTGTCCTCAATATCAAAAAATAAATTATCAGCACAATATAGGTAACAAAAAGTAGCACTTTTATACAAATAATATTAAAAAAGTAGAAATACATAATTAATTAGTTACATAACATAACATTACGTCTTTTATCCCTGAAGGGGTAGGCAGAGGTGCACATTATTTATGGTACTTAATCACTTAATGCCACTGTACAATGTAACACCCACTTTTCACTATTTATGTTATGAGTCCCACGTAGCAGGGGGTGAGCCTATTATTTTTTAATTAGTTAATGGTTCATATTTCATACATGCTATTAAATTGAGAAAAAATTGAAATCCCGGGTACTTGTTTTTATTTTTAGGAGCTTACAGGTAGCAACAATATGGATTACCTGTTTTGCAATAGATAATAAATAAATATAATATATGAAATACACATGAACAACAAAATTGTGTTAATTATTAAATGCTACAAAAAAGTAACCTAGCCGCTAAAGTTCTTTTGTAGCACTTAAATAACAAATGTCAGAATAGTACAATAGTAGAAAAATTTCTAGGTAGGTATTTGGTATCGCTTTTTATGTATGGAATTGTAGGTTATGAATAAGATTATAAATATACTTTAATTAGAAAATCTAATATTGAAACACTACATACCTACTAAATTTATAGTTGGAAAAGTTATTTATATGATAATATGACCCACTAAGAAAGTGCTAATCAGTTGCCATTCAAGTGAAAAAAAAAAGAAATTTCTACTTAAACTATGTAAAGTTATGGACAATGTCACATTTTAACTATTTCCACTGCATAACATTTCAATATTTGAGGACATAGAAATCTTCATGGTATTCTTTTATTTTCAAGCTTATGTGGTTTGTAACAAGACAATATTCGAGTAACATGGAATTAAAAAAGAACATAATTATTTTTAGCTAAGGCCGTGTGACTAACAATGAAATAAAGATTGAAATGTACTTAGAAGTCTGGTTATTCTTTTATATGTAGCTGCATAACTGGCAGTAAATAAATATTTTAATTCTCAAAAAGGTGCAATAAAAGAGTATGTGACATTCCTAGAATTCTTGTTGTGACTACATGAAACAAACAACTTTACCTACCATATTAAATTTGTTTGAGAAATTAATACTACTTTTAGATACTTCTAACGTAATCAATGGACTAAGTTCACCACACAAGTTAATTTATTGTTTCAAATTATAAAAACTTTTTTTTAAGTAACACTGCCACTGTCACACAAGTGAAGACAGAGAATGCTCGTAATTTATGTTAATAGTTGATTATACAACTCATTGTTGATAAAACAAACAAACTGATTACTTACAATACCTAATCAATTAAAGAAAAATATGGAAATATTTTCGAAGAAATGTATTGTAGTAAACAAGTTTGTACTTTCTGTCAAACGAAGTGTCAAACTTGTATCAATGAAAATGAAATGAAAGTTCACAAATCAAGTGTTAATTAACTGGGCCGACGTCAACCTCAACATAATTAAATGCATCTTTTTATCCCGAAACAAGTCTATTATTTACCACAAAACAAAAACTCACCTTTGAACTGTCAACAGTTGAAAAACACCTGGCACCCGGCTTTGCACGAAATATTAACCGTTCAACAGTTTTTATTATAAACATATTTGATTTCTTTTGCTAACCTCGTGAGCATGAACACAGCAAAAGTGCAAAATTGTTTTATCTCCGTTCTATATATCCGCACTCAGTTAAAAATATAAGGTCCAAAGGTTAATGACTAATGAACCGAAAAAGAGAGAGACACCACAGAGAGAGACACGATAAAACGATTTTATCGTTTACATACATGTGTGCGAAGAGGATAAAGATATTTTTTTTCTGTTTCTGTGTCGGCGAAACGAAATGTCACAGACAGCTCTACGTGTTGTTATCTTTCTATGTTGGGTCCAAAGTCCAGTGTTTGTACACACTTGATAGCACTATTTATATCGCAAATACTATTATTAACATAAGAAAACAACTACTATATATTGAGGAGACAACAATAAGATGTGATACGTAATATTAAGTACATTAGACATGTTAAATTGTATGTTTGTAACTTATCTTAAATAAACAAGTATCGGGGCATAGTAATTTGTCGATACAAACAACTAAACGCACTAGGTACAGTACGTTATGTATTAAGAGTACCTACTTACTTTACTGTATATAATAAAACTGTAGAAGTATAAATTCTATACCTACCTACATTAAAATTAAAAAACAAAATAGTAGAGGTTGTTACTAGATAGATACCGACCCTAAAAATAGGATGAAAATTAATTTTTGTCGGTCAGTCTGTCTGTATAATATGTTCCCGCATCACGCAAATCTACCGGTCCGATTATGATGAAACTTGGTATGATTATACTATTATATCCTGGACACGACACTTTTTATCTCGTAAAAGTATGTATACATCGTTACTGTACCAAACGCAAATATAATATACGCTCTCATCAAACCATCCCGTTAAGTCCTCCGCGACTCCGTATCGACATTAGCCCGTTTGGGCCCCATCCGTGGTGGTCTGGTGTCTCTATGAGGTGAGCGCGGTATTCTTAAGATAGAAGTGCAAAATGTTCGCGGGTTCCCCAATTAAATAAAAATTACTTTTAAATAATTTATAAATGGTTTTTATTGCCTATATTTCACCGTTTTTAGGGCATACTTTAGCATTTTGATAGTGCATTTATTATAATCCGATATCCTGTGGTGCTACGTGTCCATGTGTGGCGCCATCTATCTTTTTTTGAGAGGGAAATTCATCTAATGACTTTTTGCGCCTTATTAGGTGAGGTCACAAAAAGTGTTGTTGTCTGATCTGTCTGATTAAGGGCTCTTAAGTACACAAACCTGCGATGCGTAGCGATGCGATTTCGTGCGACCCAGGCTGACCATTCCTTCGACGACGGTCAAACATACTAAACGCATTTTAAATTGAAAACTATATAGGTCGTGACATGGATCGTAAAAAGAAGTGTGCACTTCTGGTATTGCTTAGGAGATACAGAAAAAGAAACAAAGAAGACTTTGAGAAGATATGATCTTGATGCGCTATGCTAATCAATTCACAAGTTCTTGCGATGCGTAGAGGGAGCTCGCACATTTTTGCGATGCTGTTTTGTGTACGAGCCCTTAAAATCACTCCGTTCCTACTCCATCTTCGAGCCGGTGCCCTGGTAACCCGTTAGGGTCTCCACGGCTCCCGGTAAAGTATATACTAGTCAGGGCCTTAAGTTCGTTTGCTACCTTTTACCTACCATAAAAACTTTTAATCCAAAGGATCAAGGGATTTACGAGCTTTCTGGGGCTAGGTGTTCCACAACATCGATTTTCCTGACTCTGGACTAATAATGCACTACGCGAGATTCGAACCCAGTTCAGCTCAGCTACTGCACTAATCGTGCAGTCGTCGGCATTTTACATGAAAATTTCTAAATTAAATGAATCAATTGAAAATAGTTTTAACGCCTGGAACATATTTGATAGCAATTTGCTGCGTATTGTCTGCAGTACTATGTGGGTATGGTAAAATAAAAAAAAGAAATACATAGAACACTTATAAGTGTTGCTAATAAAGTAATAAATAAAACAGATCAACGTGTCTGTATGTTTTTTACAAGTAAACTGAGGGAATGTGTCACTTTCTTAATTTATAAAAAGTCAGACTCTCTATCTTACTCGGTATGCTCCGCAAAATTTTCTTTTCGAAGGTAGGTAATGCTGTTCTATATTCTTAACAAATTAGATATTTAATGGAAAAATATAAACCACTAACATTTAGTTTGCACAAACAAAGCACTAACTCAGCCCATTTAATTATACTAACAAAATAACAAGTTTGCAAAAACAATCAATCGATGAGAATTGCTAGCACTGTACAATAAAGTATATCTCTAAATATTACCGCTACGCGGCGCTAGTAGTTTGATAAAAGCGCGCGATTCAAGTACGTATCTTGCGCGCGCCAATTTCAAATTGAAATAGGGACATTAACAACAACTTGGGTTTCATTTTATTGATTAATTTACACATTTTATTTGAATAAATATTATTATATCCATGATAAAATACCCCATCATTTGCACGACAAAAATTCACAGGGCGATTTTGATGTCGAGATATGATCGCAAAAATTCACCAATAGAAATTGCTGATTTAGTCTACCTGCCAGCTTATCAGGGCACCCACTTCACCCACCTTCAGTGTAAATAAGGATTAGCACGATTATCAGTTTTATTGTAGCCAGGAATTATTTTAGAACGAGTTTTACGAGCGGCGCGCGTTGCATTGAACAATTGTGCAAATAAGTGTCAGTTTTTGCTATTATTTGTATAAGAATTATTATTTTTAACTTTGTATAATTTATTGAAAACATGACACGTTTTTTGATGCGGTTGTTTGTGCGCCAACACACGCAACTTGTCGAGTGCGCGCGCTTCGCACAGTGAAGAAACGCTGATCGTACGCCACTGTAACTCGCTAAACATTTCTAGCTGAAAACATTATAAACTTTTAAAGACAATATAAAGTATTTGGCGCCTCCACAAAATAAATTGATTCCATTTTCACCAACTATAAGTTTACATTAAAATAAATCACGAAGGTGTAGTAATCGACATACAATAAAATATTTTGGGAACGCCTCGACACTTATCTGCTCCATTCAAACGCAATGACATTAAAACCTAAACATTGAAAAGGTTTTGAAATAATATTAACTGCAGTCCTATTTTGTTGATGAAACTTGACATCACATTAAAAAGTACTGAAGGACCAATTAATTAGGATGATTAGTTATGAAAAAACAATTATTTTCTTATTAGTTTTTAGTCACAAGGTGAAGTAAAATGAAAATAAATGTATGACTACAAAATCGACGAGATTTTGTAAGTTAAATCTCACAGCATATGGTACCAACGTATCATGGTTAGGAAACTATATAAGGATATGATCATCAACAATTTGAGTATTTATTAGTTGAATAAGTAGCTCCAGTTATTTACTGAATAAAAAATAAGTTTTAAAAATTTTGATTTCACCTATCAAACTAGAAACTGTATACAAGACGAAAAAAGAACGACTCAAAAAGAGATTCGCTCGAAACTATTCAATTTCGGTTAGCAACAAACGATTACATATCAAACCTAGATTTCATGAAACATTAATATTCACAGCATTTTCAAATATAATAAGCAATAAAATAATATTTGCTAAACAATACAAAAGTAATCGCACAGTGCCACAAATTGCGACCGATGTCTGGACAAAATCACAGTTCGTAATAAAAAATATAATATTGCAAAAAATAATGAAGCTCGCTATCTGGTAACATGTGTTCTTGAGGATTCATTTCTCACGGGTATGTCAATATTAATGCAGAACATTTTATTAAAAATCACTTGGAAACAGTGATTTGTGGCTACAAATAAGCGTTGTCATTACATTTTGACGGGTAATATATTTCTTTTTTTTATTAATTATAATAAAAGTGACATGTGTTGACGACTTGTCAGCTATGTGTCAAGATAACGTCAGTTTCGTTGCATTAGATATGCAGAACTATGAATATTAGGCTATTATTGACAGTATTGATGCCCCTAGTCGTAAGGAATGCAAACAACTATCTTGTCCGTTAATATTTATTTGAATAAAACCATAAATATTTGTATTATTTACGTGAAAACTATTTAATCTGACGGATAAATATGATAGAGTAGGATAGAGGATATTAAATTAAAATTATAACTATACAATATTTCATAAGAGTAGGAACTAATTTAAGAATTGAATCTCCAAAAATCCGTCCTATCCTTCCAAAAACGAGCAAAAATTTCATTATTTTTCACAATGTTTTTTTACATTATGATTTAACCTTTTTCGTTTGGAACTTGCACTCAGATTCAAAAAACGTACCCTTTTAGACGACCGTTTAGTTTTCTATAAAGACTTGCACCGTCATTATTTACAACCCCTTCGGATAAACCCTTGACAACAAACCTTTTTAACATTTTAAAACTCCCTCCAACAATGGATGATGTATAGTTTTTTTTTCTACCCGGCCAGGATTATGCAACTCTTCTGTATAAATGTTTTAATATTTAAAAGATTAGCGTCATGTTATTGCGTTTAGTATAGGTAAATATTATTTTATATTGAAATGTTTTTATTTGTGGAAAAGATTGAAGAATTTAAAGTTGGTGTAGCTGTGTAATTCTGATGTGAGAGCAAACATTTTATACTGGTAACATGTAATATTTGATGGTCTATAACAAAGCACTCGATAAATGAACTGATTTGATTAATTAGGTCATATGGGTGTGGGATCTGTAGGATGTCTGAAGCATCAAGTACCCATAGTTTAATACTTTAAATCTGTTTTTCTGACACAAAAATATGCATATTACCAGACCTTTTATTGGCAGCTTAGAATTCACTTTTTCTTACTTTTAAAAAGCGCTTCACTGTGACATCTACTGCCTAACCCGCTTATACTGTTATTATTTTTATTTGGGCTACTTTCTAAAGACAAATAATTAAATGTTTGTATGAAAATTCTTTTAATTTATCGATGAATTATAACCGAACTATTACTTGAATACGGTTTAACATCAGCAAGTCCGTAAAATGTAATTATAAAGAACGCATTTCAAAAATAACGTGCGTAGGTTTTAAGACGAAAAGAAGTCAATAAAGCAACAAGCATATAATGATGTGAGCGGGTGTGCGCGGGCGCGGGTTAAGTCCGCAGAATTATGCTCGGTGGCGAGCTAGTGT